AAAATAAAGTCCTAGATTAGCTAGCCAAAAGACAAAGTGCCATTTAAAAGTGAGAGCAGAGAGCTTTCCATTTTTGTTAAAAAACACTAATAGATGCAATCACTATCTTTTTGCTCTGTTTCTCGGCAACCAAACAATTGTTAAATAAGCAAGATCAACATAAAACACCAATTAAAGTTTAAGGACCAGAGCTTCGACGGGCAGCTTTCAAGCTGAACGATGAAACCCAAATTTCCCAAATTTCTCAAGAGCTTCAACGGGCAGCTTTCAAGAACAAATCACAAAATCTCCAAATTTCAGAATCAATTTAGAACAAATCAAACCCAAATTTCAGTCAAGAAAAAATCAACCCAAATTTCACAAATTTAAATAAATCTCTGAAACGAATTTAGAAAATAAAGACCTGGATTCCAGTATGATTGATGAACTTCTTCTTTGGGATTGATTTGCAGATGAGCTTCTTCTTTGGGATCGATTTGCAACCGTAGTTAATCTCAGTAGACTTCTCTGCTGCAATACAAAACATATATAAATGATGAAAAACCATTAGAAATGTAACTATAAATGATGCATAAACTATAAATGATGCATAAATTAATCAACATCGTATTTCAATGAACTCATGCTCCAAGTAAAGGGCCAACAGAGAAATTAACCGTTTTTTTAACAAGATCAAACCAACTACAGAATGACAAGTGCATAAACTATTTTTGATGAGTTCATTTCCAAACCATACAATTTGTAAAACAATTCATAACAATCTTCAAACAAAAAAAATTAAACTCGTTTATACTTTAGGAATTTACTCCAAAATAGTCAAAATCCCAGATTTGAATCCAAACCAAAAAATTGATAATCCAATTCATAGATATACCTAATATTCTTCAAATGAGGCATAGAGACCTCTATCCCCTGAAAAATCCGCTGATTACACTCCAACCAAACCAGCCACCCCGCCAACTGCGGAAAACATCCACCACACTATTGCACCCAATCCAAACCAAACACCGAGAAAATCAAGCCCCAAAGTTGATTTGCCACAGAACAGTTAAGTAAAAGATAAGAAATAGACACTGCGTCCCGACAGAACATACAACACCAATTAACCAAATTTTGATGACGTTGTTTCAAATTTTATCATTTATGAATTTCATAAGACAAATAATTAATCAACCCAAATTCTCTACAAAGCCCTACCACACACATAAAAGATCAATCAAAGCATACGGAAGCCAGAAGGTTCCAAAAAGTGCAACTCCAACAATAAAGACATATCATTCTCAATGGATTTACTTGGAAGTTCATGGTTAAACAAATTACCCATTTTCCGGAAGTAAAGGAAATTGGTGACGAGCCGCCAAAACTGGTAATGCTTGACCACTAGCTTAGGGTGCAAATACAAGTTATAAGGAGAGATTATCTGCAAATAAAATTCACTAGTTAAATATCAACATTGATAAAACTAATGATACATAAATGACTACTTACTCTTACAACTTCCAATTAACCCATCATCTAATTAAAATACAAAATTTGAAATTCATACATTAAAAGTTAATAAAAACCTATTAATCTCCTATAACCACCCAAAAAAATTCATTCTTTTCACACATATATACATATAGATAACTAATAATCTCGCCAAAATTAAAATTTAAAAAAAACAAAAAACAATTGATAATAAGCCTAACCCAATAATACCCAAATGCATAGATTCTGAACTGCTGAGTAGTAGATTACGAAATCAATAATTCTGTACAATTTGCTCACACTTACATACAAATACATAAATACATCAATCGACAGAGAGAGAGAGAGAGAGAGAGAGAGAGAGATACATCGAGAGAGCAACCGACTGTGATAACAATTGCAGCAGTGAGATAAGAACAAGTGATGATTGGCATCTGCTTGTAAAGACTAGAGAGGGATGATCAAATTATCCCATTTCAATTAGCCATCATCCACATCACTAAAAAAACACACAACTGAGAGTAAAGGCTAGAGAGGGATAATCACCGCATTATATATATATATAGAGAGAGAGAGACAGAGACAGAGACAGAGAGAGACCGAGGGCAAAGGCTAGAGAGGGAGAGAGCGAGAAACAGAGAGACAGACAGACAGACCGAGAGTGAGAGAGAACCTGTGAGGATGCGGCGGCGACAGTGGTGGCGCTAGCAGTGGCGTGCGACGTTGGTCTGAGATGAGGTGAGATTGGGTGAGGATCTTCTAGAAATGAGGAGTCCATTAGACAGAGGGCGATGGCGATTTCCGGCGGTGGCGATGTGCGACGGACGTGAGCAATGGTGGTGAGGGACTTCGGTGAGCTACATAGAGTTGGCACCGATTGAGAGAGAGAACACAGAGAGAGGGAGAGGGCAGACCAACATAGACACAGAGAGCGGGCTAGATACAGAAGAGATTAGGGCTGGTAAATTTTTTTTTTTTTTTCCTGTTTTCCTGGTACAAAACGACGTCGTTTTAAAAAAGGCGACCAAATTTTTTTGTCGCAAAAAAAATTCAATTCCCGCCTGGACAGACTTTCAAATTTTCCTCCCAAAGTTTTGGCGACCAAAATACCAGATTAGTCGCAGAAAATGTACCTTTGCCGACAAACTTCTTTAGTCGCCAAATCTTAATCAACGGCGACTAAAATATTTGTTGCTAAAAATACTCATTTCGCGACTAATTTATTTTTGGTCGGCAAAATGTGGCATTCCGCGACCAAATTTGTAGTTGGTCGCCAAAAGCATACCAATTTCTGCGACTAACTCATTTTTGGTCGCCAAAATGTGACCTTCTGCAACCAACTCATATTTGGTCACCAAAAATATTGATCATTCGCGACTAATTAATATTAGGTCGCCAAATGTCATTTTTTTGCGACAAAATTTTTTTTGGTCGGCAAAAGTGGTCGCCAATTGTGTAAATTCTTGTAGTGAATGTAAAAAAAAAGTTACGATTTTTGTGACTAAAATTATAAATTTTTTGTGATAAATGTTATAAATGGTGAAATTATAGCATGTACCAAAAAGTTATGCATAATTAAATTTATATTTTTTTGTGATAAAAGTTATACGCTTTGTAACAATCAAAAAAGTTTTACATTTTGTGATAAAAATTATGTTTTTTATATAAGATATATATCATATTCACTCAAAAAGGGATCCACTTAATAGCCTTCACCTTTATTCATTAATTGATATTCAAATTATTGATTTTTGTACTATAATTGACATTGAGGAAAAAGAAAAAAAAAAAAAAAAAAAAAAAGGAAAAAAAAGAAGTTAATATGAACTAAAAAAAATGTGTTGTGAAAATAGAAGCTCTCACTATAAGAGCAACATGACTTGGTCTTGTGAGAATTCGGCCAGTTTGGTGGTGTATACAACTCACTCTCTTTCTCAGTCAAGGCATGTTTGTTTAAAGGACTCAGATTCTCTTCAATTTATGTAATGGACTAATCTTGCTATTCGGGTTTATGAGATATATTATGAGTCGTTTTTTTTTTTAATAATTCAAATCGTTTTATGTGTAAATTTTATCGCGTATTTTATTTTTGTAAAAAATTATATTAATCAGATATCGATAGCTACTTGATTGGATTAGATTTCAATCAACAATTTATTTTAAAAATCATATTTACCGTTAATAGAAATATGATTTGATCAAGTAACTATTGATATCCGATCAATGCGATTGTTTTGCAACGATGAAATATTCGACAAGTTATATATATTAAATGGTTCGGATTATCGAACTAAAACTTATAATAAACCCCGTGAATTTGATAATACGCTCTAATTCAATTTCACAATGGAGAGAAACCCTATCCTGATTCAAAAATGAAGATAATGAACTTATAATGAACAAAGTCAAATTAATAATAATTAAGTGCTGTTAAGTTCATATATTTATTTATTTATTAATCAGAGAATTAGTATTCATTCATATATTTATTTATTTATTAATTAGAGAATTAGTATTCATCCAAGGCATAAAGCTATGATGGTATGTCTTTGCTAACTTCTTTCATTGTCAACAAATACTGCAACTGAATAACTTGTCAATTTTTATTTTATTTATTTATTTATTTTTTCTTGGGGACTTGGTTGGAATTAACTTTTCAACTTAAAATGTTATTTTTTGAGAATTCTATTAGGAGATAGGCTTCTATCCATTCTATAAAGTGGATTGAACTGTACTATTAGGTCCGTGGAGCGGATCATAAGTCCTGTTTCAATCATTCGACTCATTTAATGTGTAGAGTTCGTCGAGTATCTCATTCATACAAAAAATTATATTAATCGGATATTGATAGACCCTTAATCGGAACATATTTTTGTCAATGGTAAATATAATTTTAAAAATAAATTATTAATAGAAATGTATTCCGATCAAGAGGCTATCGATATCTGATAAACGTGATTTTTTACAAGGATGAAGCACTCCACGAGCTCTACGCATTAAACAGTTAGGATTATCGAAACGAAACCTATAATGATTCGCACAAGCCCAAGAATACGATTTAATCCGGTCCAATCCACTTTATGAATTAGAGAAAAACTCATCTACCATATATACGTATCCTTAGTTACACTATTTTCTTATTTAGTTATGACATTATTTTGATATTTTATTTATAAGTTTGGTTATGAGAAGTGGACTAAAAATCGCTTTCTAATTTTTAACCCACTTCCTCTCTCTCTCACACACACACATAAAAATAAAAAAATAAAAAAAAAATCAGAAAACTAAAAAAAAAACAAAAAATCAATTTTTAATCATTTTATCGAAACCCCATATATATATATATACACACTATAGCAGTAGTGGTTTGAAGCTTAGCTGTATTTGGCGGGATTTTCGGAGGTCAACCCACCGCCGGAATGTCAGACCGAATCAAAACCGACCGGTCCAGCCAGACCTCTCACAGAGTTGTATGTATGTACGTATTGTTTTCTCTCTCTAAAACTATAAATTTGACCATTTTTTTTTGTTTTTTATTTAAAAAATTGTATCCTCAACTGAAGAAACTGACAGCAGAGAGAAAGATAGAGAGATACAGTGAATGTATAGAGAGAGAGAGAGAGAGAGAGGAGAGAGGTGGCGCTTGATTTTGCCAGAAACGAAGATTGAAGAATCTAAATAAAAAAAAAACTTATTGATTCATTATAAAGGTAAGAAGTATATAGTTTCAGAGAGATAGAGAGAGAAATACATACACAATTACTGTATGACTCGCATAGAATAAACAATCTATATCTATGAATGATGATGAGAACATGAAGAAGCTAAGATTATTGAGGCATTATTGTTGTTGGTAGCAGCGAAGCGAGTGTAGTGATGGTGGATCGGGCAAGTGTAGTTGTTGGTTTTGGTGTTCTGTTCATGTTGTTTAACTCTACATTCCAACAATTGGTGGTGCCTTTGAGTTCGCGCATTGAAAGGGTCTCTTTAATTCAACTCAGATCATCGTTAGGGTTGAGAAGCCGTGACTGGCCTGTTAAGGCCGACCCTTGTTTAGTCTGGGTTGGTGTCTATTGCCAGAATGGTCGAGTCATTGGGATCAACATTTCTGGGTTTAAGCGAACCAGAATTGCTGCTCAAAACCCCCAATTTGCTGTTGATTCCCTCGCCAATTTCACTCTCTTGGCCTCGTTTAATGCTTCTATGTTCTTGCTTCCTGCTCCAATTCCTGACTGGTTTGGCCTTTCTCTCACCTCCCTCCAAGTGCTCGATCTTCGGTCTTGTTCTATTACTGGTGCTATTCCATCTAGTTTTGGAAATTTAACTAATCTCACCTCTCTGTATTTGTCTGATAATGTTCTTGATGGGATAATCCCTTCTAGTTTCGGCCAATTGTCTCGTCTTTCAGTTCTTGATCTCTCTCAAAATTCGCTTACTGGATTTATTCCTTTGTCCGTTGCCTCTCTTATGAATCTCACTTTACTCAACATGTCCTCCAATTTATTGTCTGGGATAATTCCTCCAGCCATTGGGTCTCTGTCCAAGCTCCAATACTTAAATCTTTCTAATAATAATCTTTCTTCCTCGATACCTGCTCAACTTGGAGACCTTTCTAGTTTGGTTGACCTTGATCTCAGCTCCAATTCTTTTTCTGGGTCTGTATCTGCAGACTTGAGAGGGTTAAGGAATTTAAAGAAAATGGTTATTGGGAACAATTTACTTACTGGTTCATTGCCTGATGACTTGTTTCCTGCTCTAACCCAGTTGCAATTTATACTTCTAAATCATAATGATTTCACTGGTGGCCTTCCTGATATATTGTGGTCAATGCCTGAATTGCGTTTTCTTGATGTATCTGCCAATAACTTCACTGGTACTCTGCCCAGCATTAATTTAAATTCTATTGCCACGACTGCAGTATTGAACCTCTCTCAGAATACATTTTATGGAGGTCTCACATCTGTACTCAGGAGGTTCAATTTTATCGATCTGTCTGGTAATTATTTTGAAGGCTTGGTTCCGGATTATGCTCCTAGTAATGCATTCTTCATTAGGAATTGCCTCCAAAACAAGTCAACTCAGAGGAGCAGTGCAGAATGTGCATCATTTTATAATGAGAGGGGTCTGCAGTTTGATAATTTTGGATTCCCAAACACAACTCAACCTCCTCCAGCTAAGCCTTCGCCAAAGAGCCACAAAAACTTGATCATATTGGCAGGAGTTTTGGGTGGGGTAGGGTGTATTGCAATTTTGGTAATTGTGATGGTGCTGCTGTTTGTATGCACCTGCAAGAGTGTAACTAATCGAAGAGGGAGAGGTGTGGGGCCCATTCCTGTAGGTGGAAGCTCACCGCCTCCCGGATTGTCTTCAAAACTTTCAAGTCCTGGAGAAGCATTTACATATCAGCAGATTCTCCAGGCAACAGATAACTTCAATGATGTGAATCTCAGGAAATATGGCCATTCAGGTGATCTCTTCCAAGGAATGTTTGAAGATGGGATCCGTGTAGTCATCAAAAAAATTGATTTGCTCTCAGTTAAGAAGGAAGCATACATGAAAGAGTTGAATTTTTTCAGTAAGATTTCTCATACCCGATTGGTTCCCCTCCTGGGACATTGCCTGGAGAATGAGAATGAGAAGTATCTGGTTTACAAATATATGCCAAATGGGGACTTGTCAAGTTCTTTGTACAGGAAAACTAATTCAGAGGATGGCAGTTTGCAGTCATTGGATTGGATAACAAGATTGAAAATTGCAATAGGAGCTGCAGAGGGGTTATCTTATCTACATCATGAATGTTCTCCAGCCCTTGTGCACAGGTATTACAGGACTTGCTTATGTTTCACTTCTCATCCTTCTGATTAGTGCCATTTGTTTAGTTTATTTCCACTTGTAGCTGGCCAGTTTGTTCTGGTGTGTTATTGCAGTGTTGATATGAACATGGGAGTAGTCATCTAGTACAGAAGAATTATGCCATGTAGAGGATGTTATTTATTATATTGAGGGGTGTGAAGGGGTGATATTGTTAGTACCATGAACATTCCACTTTTGGGATAAGGGTGAATATGATGACCACCTTACCCTTCTCGTTGGGGGTACTCTTGGCAATCCCTTTCAAGGTACAAGACGAGATTATCTTTTTGAGCATTCCCTTATAACACCTCATCCAAAAATAAAACTGTGGACAATTTTAGTCCTGGGTTTATTTTTTATATTTTTTATTTATTTCTCAGTACTATTTAGCCTGGGTTTCATCATCCCACCTTATCCCATTCCCAAAACATATGTGGCCTATAGTCCTCTATACTAAAAAGTAAAATTGAAGAAAAGAAAAGTGCAAATTCAAATATGTTTGGGGTTTGACGCATTCTATTCATATTCCAAATGTTTAAGGGCCTAGTTGTTTTATGTTACACGAATTGGCCACGTATGGGAAAATTCCTGAACATACAGTACATAAAGTTGGTTTGAAAGTGAAGGAAATATAATTTTTGGATAAATTGCAAGATGAGAAAAATGCAAAATCCAAAGAATATTGTATGAAATCTATACAGGCTATTATTCAAGAAAACCAAAATCAGATGACTAGGGGCAGAATTAGGGAGGGGTTGGCAAGGACCATGACCCCCCTAAGTTTTGACAATTATAGTCTTGTTTCCAAATAACAAGTTACCCCCTAAAATATTAATATCTCCCAAAGTTTTAGTAGTAAACCTGCTAGATGATTCAATCAACAATTATGACCCATTATCTATGCTTTCCTAATTTGTAAAAGCTTCCAATCTTTCTCAAATATTGATATCCCCCTTTGTTTAGTTACTTTAAATGTATAGCTGGATACAGAGCTATCCTCTCTTGTCTTCTTCTCTATCTGTGAGTGCTAACTTGATCGTCAGAGGGATTTTCTGGCAACACACCCGCCGGGTAGCTCATTGTCGCTATGTTTTCAAGTTCGACGACGTTGTTCGGAGAAGCGTGCAGCTTGGACGTAAGGAGTACGGAAACTTAGAATATTTGCTCCCCATACATATATATGTGTGTGTGTGTGACAAAAAGAAAAAACAATTTCCTTCTTTAATGTTACAAATAATTTATATTTTATTATTGTCAAAATAGTAAGCAATCATTTTCCACAATCTACATATTGAAAAAGAAGCATGAACAAAAATTCCTAATATATATTTTAAAAGCCTTTGTCAATAAACAAATTTAAATTTGTAGGCTTTAGAATTCCTTAAAATAAAAGCCTAAAGGGTGAGGGATTAAGAGTTATTACATTCAAATTGTTCTTATTTTAGTCATCGGTTCTCAAATTATTGTCTAACAATTTACTTTCAAAACAATGTGAAACTCTAAAGCCTAAAACAATCTGATGCAAGTAATGACATGTATTCTTTTGTTGTTGAAGAGATGTTCAAGCCAGCAGTATACTTCTTGATGATAAATTTGAAGTGCGGCTAGGGAGCTTGAGTGAGGTTTGTGCTCAAGAAGGGGAAAATCATCAAAGCAAGATTACCAGGCTGCTGCGGTTGCCATCGTAAGTATTCTATTGATATGTATAATTGTAAGGATTTTTGACCATCCTGTCAATCTTCTACATGCGACATCCAATCGGTTTATGTTTCCTGAAAAAAGATAATTCAGAAATCAAGTTAGGTTCTTATTTAGGTACACTTGTATGAGACGTATCAAATACAATACAATCTATTTTTGTACTTTTATAAAAACAAATTTTCTTTTCAGTTGTAATATCTTAAGTTTCTCTAAATGAATGCTTTTGAGGGATTTTATAGTGTTTCATTATCTATTTATTAAGGGTTTCTCAAACCACGCATCTCTCTTAATTAAGAGAGAACTTGTAAGTTTCCCTTACATATATCCTATCGGTTTGAGTATCAAATCTTTCATTATTAGGAGAGAGGGCTAGAGGGTGTATGTCAGTAGGGTGGACTAGGGGAGAGGGGAAAGGGGTTGGCAGAGTGGAGTTAGGGTTTGTGTGGTGGACAATCCTGTGCATTGCATTTATATATTTTGAACTTGAATGAAAAAAAAGGCTTGAATGGTACGATCCCTTTGTCACCCCATAATGAAAGGGGTGATCTTGTACTGGGTCTGTGAAGATGCGTTGTTAGGTGCTCCATTTTTCCCATTGAGGCTGAACCTAAACCTGTGCTCAAGAGATAGCTGTCCATACACTGAACTGAAAGTTGTAATCTTCACCCCCAGATGTAGGCTTTATAAGAAAGAGATGCAGTTGAACAGGGTTACCAAGTTGTGGTTCTTAGGTTAGAAGCTCAAGAAGGGAATCCTGAAGTGTGGGTTCAAATCCCGTCCATGACAATAGAGAGTGCTGAACTCTCTTAAGAAGAGAGTCTCTATTTATTCAATTAACACAAACTAGTTTTAAGTTATAAAAAGTGGTTATATTGTATACTACTATGATAGTTAAAAAATATATACTATAAATTTTTGATCACTTAATGGTTATTCTAATATATGCTATATTGTATACTATTCATGATAGTTAAAAACATTCAATTGAGTATTTTGTAATTTGCAATGCATGGTTGTATGAATTCTCATTGAACCTTGCTTTATCCTTCGATTTATTGACAATTTACTAATACATTGTGAAATGTTTAATAATGATTTTTTATCATTAGATTAATAAATTTTAAAAAAAAAGAAAAAAAAAAAGGAAAAAAATGAAGAAGACTCTAAACGTAAAGCATTGGTAGTGTTTTTTAAAACTAAAAGTGATTAAAATTAGCAAAACATTGTCAATAAGAACCCTTGTACATTGGAAATATTGATTTTTTTTCAAGACTCTTATGAATCAAGAACACTTAATAAGTATATAATATTTGTAGTGTTAAATCCAAAACGGTACATCGAAACATATCGGTATTGATATGTACCATACCAATAGAAAAAACATTACGCTAGCCAGTATCGTATTGACAACATTGATGGTGTACATATAATTTGATGGAGAATAATGTAGGCTTATTTACCCATTGAAATTATTTGTTTGTTAATTGTAAGCATTATTTTTATTGTACATATTAATATGGTGTGACTATGTTACAATCCCATGTTGGTTAAAATAGGCTTTGACCATTGTGCATATAAGCCCCTTGGGTATTCTGCCATTGCAAGCCAGTTTTCAAGAGTAAGTTCTACCAAAAGGGTCTGTATCATTTGGTATTAGAGCCACTCACCACATCGAGTATGGGATCGGACGCAACTATGCGAGTATAGGATTAGATAGATGCGGCTTTGCAGTTCGAGCAACGAAGGGGGCTACCTATAGGTTGGATTAGGTCAGTGTTGATAAAGTAGGCCGCGGTGGACGTCGGCTGTGGATCATGCTGTTATGTTATGATCCCACATCAGTTAATATAGGGTAACCATGTGCATATAAGCTTTTTGGGCACCCTCCCCATGCAAGCTTGTTTTCAAGGGTGAGTTATACCCAAGGGGTTCGTATCAGACTACTTTTTTGTTTCCATGGAATTGAAACTTCTAGCTAGTGGACGAGATATGGTTTTGACATTCTTCAAATTAGCAATAACAACCAATGAACCAACTTGTATATGCATTGTCTTTTTGAAGACTTTTGTTGTATTGGTGTTCACTAGTTCAGATTCTAACCACTTTTTTCACCAAAGAAAAGAAATATAAGGAAATATATATATATATATATATTCTAAAAGTCATTGCTACATTGTATAGTTATATTAACAAAATCTTCTCTTGTTTTTGTGCAGAACATGTGAACAAGGCACTTTTGGTACGTGCCATTTGATTCCTTTCAATTTCACCCATTGATTTTTGTTTCTTGTTTGCCTACATGTTTGTCTATTTGAGTAGATATAATAAAGTGGTTGTAGTATGCTGCACGTATCAGGACTTAGGCACAATTATTATCACTTGAACATCAAACCTGAATATTGTGTATTTCATAGTTGTTTATCGGGGAAAATTCTTCCTAGAGGTGCTCAAAGTTGTCTGATTCTGTTAAGGACTTCAAAGCATACCCAATTTTATGTTGATTTTATTTATTAAATTATGCATTATTTCCTCTTTCATAGCTTAACTAGTAAGCCATTAGCAGATGGAAGTATGTCATTTTCTTTTGAAAGATTGAATTTTTTTAGTTTATAGGTTCTGAAATTAAGTGCAGGAACTTTGCGGTTGGCTTAAAGAAGTCACTTTGATTTTGCATCACAAGAGATTAGTTATTGGTTAAGTTACTTGTACCTTGTAGGACAATCAAAATTCAAAGCCTCATCTCCGTAAAGGGCAAAACCAACTGAAGAAGAAGGTTCACAGAGAAATTTGTTGGTTTAGGACATCTTTGCATGGGAAAAACAAAGAAGTTTGTTGATCTTGTGAGATGTTTTTATTGTGAAGCTGTGTCTTTAGATTGATGGTTTTTTTTCCCTCTAAGGAAAGAGTGATATAATCTTTTTTTGAAGTTGTGTATGTATATATATATTTATTGATAAGACCAACCTTAATCTTTTATGAACTTGGATTCCCAAGTTTTGTTTAAATTTTGTCATTTAATGTTCTTGCCAAGAGAGTATAGGACATAAGCAAGAACTGCTGTTACCTGTGCGTAACAGTCTGGTATTGAACCTATTGAAGGAAATAGACCTAAATTTTAGTCAGGCTCGAGTATCTGAACAATTTGATTAAGCCATTCGAGAATCTTCACTTAGCAACCGGGTTAATGTCTTTAGGTGGGCAAAATTTTTGGGCAAACGACTGTCTGGAGTGTTCCATCCACAAACCTCATTGTTCTCATTATCTGTTTGAAAAAACGTGTCTCAATTTTTAAAATTCGTACTACTAAACTTGCAGTAAGCCAAATTGAGCTACTTAGTCAAGATTATAGCAACTTAGCTTTTGGGCATTGACAAAGTCAGTCCCCAAAATGTACTAGTCACTATTGAAGTTATGTAATGAGCCAAGTCTGGCATCAAGTTAACTGCTTTTGACCAACTTTTTGGTTGAGTATTCGAGTGTTAAACAAAAGCATACTTTGTGGACAGTGTTACTTCAGAGAGAAAAACAATTAACCTTATTTCACTACCCTTACTAGCTTTTGGGATTGAGTTCCATCCAAGACTATTACAGAGAACATGCTCTAAATAGTAAGATTGTGGCTTTTTAGAAAGGTTTTGAGAATGTATTGTCTTGTGTTCTTCCTTATTGGAGCTCTAATATAATCCTAGCCCATAAATGTTGTCACCCTGGGTTAAGTGCCTTCCTTCTATTCTACAGTCATGTTGCCCATGGCCTACAATTGAGTCCCTCACGAAGACAAATAACTAGATGCTTAAGACCATCTTTATTTTGAGAACTGATACAGATGAGAGTTTGTTAATACTATCAAGTTGTAAATGTTCCATTCATGTTAGTTGAGGTAATTAACCATACATGTAATTATAACCTCAGTTATTTGTTCTGCATTTAAAAAAAAAAAAAAAAAAAAAAAAAAAAAAAAAAAAAAAAAAAAAAAAACAGACGAAAGAAAGGAAAAGTGCTAAAAAAAAGGTGGGGGATTGTAATATTGATTTGGGAGTTTGGTTTTCTATGCTTATGCTATTTGATGAAGTTGGGCTTTTCACCATTTGTCCATGCAATTCAGTTATCTTGATTAATTCAAGATGGTTGTGTTATTTGCTTGATTGATTGAAGGCCAACTGAGAGATTTTATTTACCTCAGCTGCCCTGTAGTTTGAATGGGAAAGTTCTTAAAAATTTTTAGCACTGAACACAGATTTTACTTTTACTGACTGTTGTTTCTAACAAATTTCTTTGGAAATGGCCAGGTTCGCCATCAGCTACATGTGCTTATGATGTTTACTGCTTCGGGAAGGTGTTATTGGAGCTGGTAACGGGTAAGCTGGGCATCAGTGCATCAAGCGAGGCTAAAATGAAAGATTGGTTGGAAGAGACATTGCCTTATATCAGTATATACGACAAAGAACTCGTGACGAATATCGTGGACCCGTCTCTAATCGTAGACGAGGACTTATTAGAAGAAGTATGGGCGATGGCTATTGTTGCTCGATCTTGCCTTAATCCAAAGCCTTCTAGACGGCCGCTTATGAGGTATATTCTAAAAGCTTTGGAAAGCCCTTTAAAGGTAGTAAGAGAAGAACACATTAGCTCTGCAAGGCTGAGAACCACTTCCTCTAGAAGGTCTTGGAATGCTGCTCTATTTGAAAGCTGGCGTACTAGCTCATCAGATGTAGTGGTGGTCCCCATCAGCAAAGCTGATGGCGGGGGTCATTATTCATCATCGACTAGACAGCAATCCAAGGAGATATTCCCTGAACCATCCGATGAGCATGATATAGAGAGACCAAATGAGGACTAGAAGTGAGATTGATTGTTCTTGATTCTTTGTTAATAATACAACAGCAAGCTCCCCATTTGTGGGCCTTGCTATATTCTCCTTGAAATTGGGGGTTTGGAAGCCATTTTTGTTCTTACCCATTGGGGTGTCCAAAAAATGCATAGAAATGTATTTTGAAGTTTGAAGAACGTGTTTGCTTCCCTGGAAAGCCAACATCAAATTGTTCATGGGTTTTGTGAGAGAGGAGGGTTGTTGTTTATGGTGTATCATTGGTGGTTCTTGCACTTATTTGTTTTGGGGCTTGTTTTATGGTGAAACAGCTAAATTTTTTATTTGTAATTAATTGATCTTTGTTATTGGTCCTCTCGTGGAATGCAAATTGCAACAGTTGGGCCTTTTTTAAATGTGAATTTTTTTTTTTTTCGCCTTAGGAGTTTTGTCCAAAAAGCAAGATGTTTTTTTAGCTTTAATAGAAAGAAGTGGTAAGCATTTGAAAAGAGGTCCCACCGAGATTTGAACTCGGGTTTCAATTGTGGACCTACTGAGTGTTTCAATTTAATACATGAACCAATGTAATACAAGTTGTGTCAGGTTACTAGTTGTCCTTCACATTCTGAAAATTATAAATATTTTCTTATTAAATTTTTTTTGCAACTAACCAGACAAAAATAAAACTATCACAATATCTTTTAATACTAAAATAAAATTATCATATGAGAAGGGCTTCTTTTTAGTCTAAATCAGAGTAGAGGCTGATGTTGGGCTTTCGTGGGCCCACCACGGAGTTGTATTGGTGATCTGAACCGTTCAATATGTAATGTTCGTTGAGTACTTCATCCCTGTGGCTATTGATATCTGATTAAAATGATTTTTTACATGGAAGAAGTAATTGACAAGCATTACGCATTGAACGGTTCGAATTATCAATGTGGGTTCCGTGGTGGGCTCACGAAAGTCTAACAATACCCTCCAATTGGAAAATCCGACTGGATTATCATACTACTTTCATTTTTATCCATCCACCACCAAATTCATCTCTCTACAACATCATAATATTTTTTAATCCCGCTCATGACACGTCAAAATGCATATAGACAAGAATGATGGCGGTGTTAATTGAGAGTGGGAGAGAGTGGCGCGATGATTGAGCAAAGTGATATTACTAGTTGAGCGAAAATGGTGAATAAAGAAAATGAGATAGGAAAATAAAAATGTTTTAATTTCATAAATATATGTATGGCTGAAAAAAAGAAAGAAAAAAAAAATTGTTAGTTACATCATACACTTTGTTAGTTTGACTTAATTCTTGATTAACATATGAGAGTCATTTGTTATGTAATTGGAAACTTCAAGAGGTGTTCTCAAATGTGAAAGAGAATTTGTATTTTTAATAAATAAAAGATGTATATTTACAATTTATCATAAAAAGAATATAAAGAGTTAGAGTATATATAAAAAAGTGATTAACTAAAATAGAAAAAATAATTTTTTAGCTTCTAGCTAAAATTCACTAATTTGATAAAGATGCACTTAGATAAATTCCAACCCTGCTCTCCATTTTTTACTAATTGAAGTATAATTAATCAATCTTTATGAGTAAATTACAAATACATTGTTCTCTGTAGTTTTGAAAATTATAAATACCCCCTTATCAAAATTTATCATTTAACAAAGTTGACTGGAAAAATGAAATTTTTAACTATTCTTCTATATAACAATGAAATTATTACAACTGCTAATTATAATATATTGCTAACATTATTAAAAATTGTTAAGTAATTTAACGATTGATTAATAAAAGGATTGCTAACATTATTAAAAATTGTTAAGTAATTTAACGATTGATTAATAAAAGGGGTTATTTGTTACCTGATTGAAAAAATAAGAGGCAATATGTAATTTTTAAAACTACAATGGACAATCTATATTTTAATCAAACCAGAGGGAGTGTATTTGTAATTTACTCTTTTTTTTTTATTTATTTTATTTTTATGTATGTGTTCCAACACTACCTTTATTTTATGGATAAATTACAAATATACCCATTGAGATTTGCCTAAAATATGAATTACACATTGTGATTTTAAAAATTACAAATACCCCTTGCCAAAAAATTTTATTTAACATAATTGACAAAAAATATAAAATTCTTAACTATTTTTCTATATAACAATAAAATTAACCATAATTTTTAATTGAAATATATTTTTGACATTATTAAAAATTGTTAATTGACTTAATGATTTATTAACTAAAAGGATTCATTTGTTATGCCATTACAATTTTGAAGAGGTGTGATGCAATTTCCAAAACTATAGGGGACAGTATGCATTTTAAGCAAACCTCACTTGTAATTTACCCTATTTTCTCTATCTATCTATCCACATAATTTTTTTAAAGAGCCTTCTAAGATTATCTCTAGTCCTTCACCAATTTTTTTCATCTAATTTGATTTTAAATTTGAGTTAAAAGTTTAATTTAATATGAACTATTCCAACCATTTCATCAAATTTTCATCAAAATATTTTTAAAAATTTATCTCTTATCTCAATTTTTTTTTCATCGAATTTGATATTAAAAAATTGTCTCATATTTTTAAAATTGTTCATCAAATTAAAATTTGATAAAAGAAAAAAAAATGGCTCTCTCTTAATTTGATAAACATTTGATAAAAGGATTGAAGATTATTTTTAAAATATTTTTTCACCAAAATTTGATGAAAGAAGAGATAAGGGTTAACTACCAATAAGTTCTAATAGTTGGACTTAATTCCCATTAAGCCCTATTGAAAATAAGTCCAAGTAAAATTGTCGCAAAAAATAATTTTTTATAACGGTTCCAGTTTAGACCCAACACGTTTCATGCTCTTAGATTCAGGATTTCGTGTTTCCAACTATTGTTATGCCCTTTATCATCTTGTTGGTAGTTGATTTGAGTATTAGTTGTGTTTGAAACAGGTTGGAAGTTAGTTTTTCAAAAGAGTTGTTGTTCTATTTTCTACTTGTTCGCTCAAGCAGTGTTTTGATCGCTCGAGCGGTCTTTGAGATCTCCCAGTATTTTGTAAGTCTGCAAAAGTTTTGGGAGTAGGGTATCTTCGCTTGAGCAGTGTTTATTGTGCTCGAGCGATCTTCTTCAACCTGCAAAACTTCTAGGATGGGGTCATTGTGCACTTGAGAGCGGTGTTTTGGTCACTTATTGTCTCTGATGCTCAAGCACTATCTTGGTCGCTCGAGTAGTTTGAGTATATATCAGTTCAAGAAAAGGGCTTTTTCAATCACTTTTTCATTCCTCTATCTCTTTAAAACCTTCTAAACCCTAATTTCTTCACTCTCTTTCTAGTTCTTGCCTTAAAAACCCCAAATACACCCTCACCCATTGATTTCTCCACCTTAGTTCTTTGGAGAAAAAGGTAGAGCTCATCCAAAGTTTCATTCTAAGTGGAGACGATCTTGTTTTCAGCTCCATCAAAGTTTTAACCTTGCTCTCTTTCTCTTCTACTCTTGAGATAGGGATTTCTTCAATCTTTGGTATGATTCTTAGCCCAGTTATTTGCTCTTTGAAATGGTTGAGTGATTTGAGAATTTTGGATTAAACCTATTGAAATATAAAAGAGGGATTTTTTAAATAAATTCTTAAGAAAGGTTGTGGAAGTGTATAAAATGTTAGGTTGTGTTGAAATGTTGTTTTGAAAGTAAAGGTGATTTTGTTTGAAAATCAATGACATTTGATTTATGAGGGAAAAGGAAAAAGATGTTGGGTTTTGAAAAGATAAGAGAAATGTATCTGTTGCTGATGAAAGTGGAATAAGATATGTAGTATCGCTCCCATTTTGAAAATGATGAGATTATATTTGTTGTTGGAAAATTATCTGTTGGATAGAGATATCTGTTTTGGGCTATTGGTGGAGGATAGTCTTGATTGTTGTAGAAATTGCATCAGGTTTAGGTTAATTGAAACTAATTACTCATACATTTTTGCATTGAGCATTGTTTCATACTTACACATTGAAAATGTATTGTTTTGAGAAAAATGGATGTATATCTTGATGAATCTGGTTAGGGTGTGTGGCTGTGGTTTATATTGTTGGCTTGTGTGTCCTTAATGAAAGTCTAGAAACCAGCATGGTTAGGTGCCTATCCTTCCGGTTAGTACCGGTAAAATGACTTTGGTAGTGCTTGTACAGCCTACTAGCAGACACGTACCTAGAGATTCTCAGTGTTTTATATCCACTGCCCTGTTTTCTAATATAAAATGATATTTTTCATGAATTGATATATAATCCTGGCATTGCATCGTTTTAAGATGAAAATGAAAAACATTTTTCAAATAGCATGTCTATGTATTCACCTTATGACTTTATTAAGTTTTATACATTGTGTTAAAGTATCTCTGCTGGGCTTTAGCTTACCCTACATGGAAAATAACTTTCAAGTGCTGATGATATGTCTCCACCAAGAACATAGCTTGGGAGGACTTGGAGGCAAGATCTTCTTTTGTTTTCTTTGATGTAATTATTTTTGTACAAGCCATGGGCTTTAACTATATTGAGTTTATCTCACTTTTGTTGTATCCAAACATTGACTTGGAAAGATGTAACCATTAGGGCATTAGCTTATCTGTGTCTCATTTTTCTTTTTATTCATGTACACATGTCATGTGCTATAGATTCAGGATCTAGAATTTATAAATGTATAAATGCATATATCATCTTATGTATGATCAAGGAATATCAATGAAACGTTAAATATAACGCTAGTGGCACATTCTACTGTGTATTATGATGTAGGTTGTTATTATAATTTCGGGGCGTTACAACTTGGTATCAGAGCTACTAGGTTTGAATACTTTGGGATCGTGGGACATGGATTTATACCAGAATGGATTTGTCTCACTAGTTAATATTAGAAGTAGACTTGGTATGTTATGTGATAGCATGTTTATGTGATTAAATGGGTATGAGATTTGGTTTCTCAGTTATTGATTGATCTACGAGTTTCTAGAAATCATATTAGAAGAGCACTTAATCACTGCTTATTCTAAATGGAACTCTAGCAATGTCACGGAACATTTAATTATCTAGAACGGAAATTCATTTGTGATTATGCGACTCTATGCTTATATGGAATGAATTAATTGTTGTCCACTGTATTAGGACATGAGTAAGTTAGCTTCAGCACATTTGTATATGTGCTAAACTACTGTGTTACCTTTATTAGAATGTCAAGATGAGGACATGGTGGTGGTAGGCGTGGCAGGCCTAGGCAGCAGGAGGTGCTGATATCGGATAAAATTTCAGCACTAGAGGAGAAGTTGGTCAGGCCAACTGTCACGACCCAAACCAACCCCCATAGGTTTAGCATCGTAACCGGCCAGTAATCCTTGGATTACCGAAGGCCTCTGAACAGATTAACAAAATTAAGGGGGCTAGCGGAAGCAAATACATAAATATAGTTGTCTAATGAGTTGTGCTGACTTATATGAACAGAATATTTAAAACTTTATTTACATAATCAAAAATCATTCATACATTATACCCACACACATTACAGTATTTTAAGTACAGCCAACGACATCAAATCAAGTCTTATAA